ATCTGCAGAAACAGAAAGGTATTGTCCTAAATGGACCCTAATTAAGAGCAGAATTTGTTCCACCCCACACAGTAAGTTTAATAACTCGGCTCTAAGTTGACCGTATCAGTAGCAGAACAGGGAGCAGGGTTCTGGGAAACCAATTTCAGTGTTGTGGCTCTGCATATCTGAGAAGAGAGAGGGACTTTGGTTGGAAAAATAGGGTTAGTGTAGTATATGGGAAGAATTAAGGGAGTGGAGCATCTTCCTTATGAGGAAAGGCTGAGGGAGCTGGGTCTCTTTAGCCTGGAGAAAAGGAGACTGAGGGGTGACCTCATCAATGTTTACAAATATGTAAGGGGTCAGTGTCAGGAACATGGAATTAAGCTTTTTTCAGTGATGACCTGTTATAGGACAAGGGGTAATGGGTGTAAATTGGAGCATAGGAGGTTCAAGGTGAATATCAGGAAAAATTTTTTTACTGTGAGGGTGACAGAGCACTGGAACAGGCTGCCCAGAGAGGTTGTGGAGTCTCCTTCACTGGAGACATTCAAAACCCGCCTGGACGCCTTCCTGTGTGATGTACTCTAGGTGATCCTGCTCTGGCAGGGGGGTTGGACTAGATGATCTTTCGAGGTCCCTTCCAACCCCTATGATTCTATGATTCTGTGAATTTAGGACTGTATTTGAAAATATTGGAACGGTATGTTGTAAAGACACTGGCAGAATCAGGGCCATTAGCTGAGAGAGCTCTGGTTGCCTGCATGAACCAGAATGAATCGCTGTCATACGTCATGTAAATGATGACATGGCAGACTGCTTATTCAGGGTCTGGAAATCATTTTAGTATGTAAGTACTTGTTCCCAGATGTAAGACCTATTTTTGAGAAATATGCCAAGTTCTTAACTCTCCTTGAAAACCTAAGAAATGGGGCATTTGTGTTTTTGAGATGAGAGATGGAGTTACCTCCTCCTCTGGTGTGTTTGTTCTGTTGTTAGATGTAAGGTATTGGTCGCTTGCACTTTTTTCAGAAATTAGGAATTTACATTTTGTTTTTATTTGGTTCAGAATTACTATCTGGAATGATTACTTGTTGCTGTAATGATACTGTCACTGTTTATGTGGTCCTTGGAAAGTAGATTAGCTCTCATTTTTATTTTGGGGTTCATACAGCTACCTATGTTTGAGCAGCTAAAGTTCAAATCCTACAGAGCATTATGCTTACTTCTGTAGACCTGTTCACTTTTCTTTGTGCTTCATGGAGGTGAATCGTACAATTCTGTGGAAAGGTACTGGGGAACATTTTTGTGCTTTTGGGCTCGTGAGTAGATGATTACAGGCAGATACTGGATGAGTGATAGCTGGCAAGTACAACAACCTGTGTTGTACTGGACAGTCTTTAAGTAAGAACCCGTATCTTGTAGGCTGCCTAAGCTTATTTTAAGCACTACAAAGTCTGAGTGAGGTGGCTTTACCTGAGGAAGGAGGATACAAGAAAGAGACAAATTGGAGTCTGAACTGGCTGTGGAAAAAGTGTAACAAGTTATGGGACTTGAGGGTACTTACACTGATTCAGTGTATGATAACAAGACCAGTTAATGGTGTCTAGTTTGACCACTGTCAAAACAAGTAATTGCTTGAGCTCTCTGTCATAGAATCATTAAGGTTGGAAAAGACCTCTTAAGGTCATAATTTCCACCCATCAGCCCAGCCCTACCATGACCACTAAGCCATATCCTGAAGTACCATGGCTACATGTTTTTTGAACAGCTTCAGCGATGGTCAGGACACCATCCCCCTGTGCAGCCTGTTCCAATGCCTCACCACTTTCAGTAAAGAAATTCTTCCTAATATCCAGTCTAAACCTCCCCTGCTGTAAATGTAGCCCATTTTCTCTCATCCTATTGCTAGTTACCTGGGAGAAGACACCAACACCCACCTCGCTCCATCCTCTTTTTCAGGTAGCTGTAGTAGAACAGTAAGGTCTCCCCTCAGCCTTCTCCAGACTAAACCACCCCAGTTCCTTCAGCCGCTCCTCATAAGACGAGTTCCCCAAACGCTTCACCAGCTTCACCTGCAGTTGCACGTTTCTACCACATCCTTTACAAAGGCACTTTTGCAACTGCATTCTGAACAGTATTAATTTACTGCTCTGCCTGATGGAGAAGAAAAGTCTTGGCCCGCCCTTCCTCCTCTCCCCAACGTAATTGACTTTCAGTTCTGCAAACTGTTAGGATGTTAGGATGGCATGTGCTGGGTTGAATACAGAGCAGACCAATAACCAACAAGTCATTATTTCCAGTCAGTTACTGTCTCTGGGACTGGCTGGTGGCTGTGATCTATTACTTATTGCTACTGGGTAGCAGTAGTTTTGTTCAACAGATGGGAGGAGAATTCACACTGGGAGCATTCACCCTTCCATCTGCCGCTTTTCATAGCAGGACTTCTTTGTGATTTTAATCCATGGCATGATAAAGTAGTACCTCTGTCTGTCTTTTAAGTATTTATTTTTTTATTTTAGTCTAGCAATGTATTATCCGCTGTGGGGAAACAGTGCTACAGAATTGCTATTCTGGATGAAAATGGGCAAGGGCTGGTGCACCTATTGAGATTACCTGTGCTGAAAAGGTTATTTACTTGCTCTGTCCTGAATGATGAATCTGGAAAAAATTGTAAAAACAGGTGATTTACAGGCAGAAACTACAGAATAATAGACTTTGGAAACAGAAACCTCTTCAGAATTTAGTAAAATATTTAGCAGTTCTATACAACATGATAGCAACTAAAAAAGGTGATTATGTCCAGTAAGGTAAACCAGAAGAAAAAAAATTCAGTGGTGAAGTGATTTGTAAGGTGAATGTGTGTATATGCTTAAGTTGCTAGAGTGGTCAGGAAAAAATGGGCTTGTGTGCTATATGGGTGCCTGTGAAAAATAAAAACAACCGTAATGCATACAGGGCTACTGATTAATATTGAGAGAAGTGCTGTAGTTGAAGATAGGAGTTTAAATGCCAGTACCTATGGATTTAGCGGGTAAGACCTAACTCTTTTTGACTGATCTCCTCAACGCTATCTTTACTATATAATTTCTTCCACCGAGCTGTACTCACAGTATTGTCTCAACTTATATACTGTCAAGATTTCTCCAAATAAAACAGCTTTTAGGAAATTAGGTAGTTTATTATGTATTTTACTATTTGTGTGGCAGAGGTACTAATTAAAGTAACTACTATTACGTTGAGCCACCGTTGTTCTGAGCCACGTAATGCTCTGTTCATGTAGCGTTTGGTTTAAAAATATTTGACTGTGACAGTCATTATTATGATCTTTACTTAATGTCAGGTGGACTTGGTTTTTTTTTTCCACTGCCTCTTTTTGGAGAATTGGTTTGGTCCAGTGCTAGATGATATAAAATAGTAAATCTGATGTATCCCCTACATGTGGAAAAAAAAAATCTACTAATCTAGATATATAAAATGAAAAACTTTTGTGCTAATTGCATCCCATTCATGTAACTGTATAGAGACATTATTAATCCAGACAGTTACTTGAAAGAGTGATACTGTTCCTGTGTCACTTGTGCTTTTATATCTCTAAATATGTATAAGATATATAATATAAAATATATATAAAAGTGTATATACATATATATGTGTATATTAAAAAAACCATACTGTGCCTTCTTAGCAACATTAAAATGTCTTTCTCTTATTATAATAAAGTTTTTTAAATATCATGATTGTTTTAAGAGTGCCATCTAGTGTCTAAAACTTTTCAACACGGGTTGTGATTTGTAATTTAATGGGCAATTTTACTGAGTGATGGAGCAGAAAAATTATTGCATTATTGCATTATTGTTTTATATTAAACTGGTATGGAATAGTTTAATAGGAAAAATGTCATTTTCAGCCAAGTATAAGGAAAATTAAAGTTTTTAATTTAAGAAGATATTAATTTCAGCTGTGTTACTGTAGTATTTTACAGCTTTAAAGTAGTAGTGTGGTTGAGATGTTCATGTAGCATTCATGAAATGAGTGGTTTTTTTTTCTCTCTTCTTTTGTGTCCTTTTGACCTTCAGTTACTATCTTGCCAGGTTCTAGATTAATTTTCAATACAGAAACCAGTATTACTTCCCATAGCCTATATACCATATATATATGCCTTCTAACAGTTATAGAAAGACAAATGTGTGTATTGGGAAACTGACAGTTTGAGGTATGTACTCAGAAACTTGTTTTTTCAATTGTACATTGTTAATGTTGTGGGGAATTATTTTTTTTTTAAACCCTTGCTATAGGATGTTTATACATTAAAATTTTTAAAAAATATTTTTCAGTGGTGTTCGATGTTTTGTTCCATGTCAAAATATGCTAAAATGTAAAAAAAAAAAAAAAAAAAAAAAAATTACACAGATCATGTCATTTGTGTGTGAAGAGCCAGTGTGTATGTAAAACCATTCTTTTCCCTCAAGAAAGGCCTGGAGTCCATTTATTCAGGCAGGATGTCTTTAATAGTGTCTTATGTTAAAATCAGTTTTAGTTGATAGTGGAAGGACCACTGTTTTAGACCCTCCCTTTTGTTCTATATTCTGTATTCTTTTATGAATGTTGTGTTCTGATTTCTATTTCAGGAATTTCAGCTCAGGAGGAAGATGAAAGATAGTGTTGCTGAAGAGTGTTTATATTTGGCTTTTTCTCATCAGTGCAGAGATTGTATCTTTCCTCTTCATACGTCTATTTCACTGTTTTTGCTATCCTACTGTGACTGCAAATTATTCAAAGTTTTCCTAGTGCCAACTGGTGAAGATGTGGGTGATCAGTTTGTGACAAAACTGGTTGGCGATCTCGAGGTCCATCTAATCTCCAGGCGTCAACTTCCCGCGGTTGTGCAGAGCTGCTGTTTACCTGCTCTTGTCATGAGAGATGGCAGGTTCTGCCGAGCTGGCCTTTCTGTTGTCTTAAGGCATATAATACAAAAAACATACGAGGCAGATCCATCTAAAAAGGATGTTTTGGAACTCTTGGGCTTTAAGAAGACCTGCTTAAAAGCTTGTGCTGAAGTGAGTGCATGCATCTCTTTCTCTTACACACATTAATAGAGTTTTTTATAAGCAATAGGTTAGGCCTCCGCATAGACCCCTGAAGAGCTTCACTTCTAGCTCACCTTCAGGTAGAATGTGAACCATTAACCACCTTTGAGTTGATATTTCAGCCCATTTGTCACATAGGAGTTTGTATCTGGCCACTCATCCATCAAGACTGGCCTTCCTCACTCCTTTCAGAAGGTTGAACCCAGTATTTCATGATTGCTATGTCCGTGGTTGCCATTGATTACTATGCCTCCGTCCCAGTTCATTCCTGTTGGAGAGCAGCAGATCTGGGGAAGTTTGTCCCAGTGTTAGTCCCTCTAGCACTAGCATAAAGAAATTGTCCCTGATATCCTCCAGAAACCTCTGGGTTTAATCTCCTCTTGGAACTGCTGGAAAACTTGATTCCATATTGCAGATGGCTGCAAAATGAATAAACTGAGTAAGAAAAGACAGGAGTCTAGAAGTATTAAAACTTTGAAGTACAGATACTAAGAAAAAGAGGATAAGGGTAAGAATATGAAAAAATAATAATTATAAGGTGCTGTTCAGTTAGACCGAGGTTTTTTGATGCTGTGTGCTAAAAAACTGCTAATAATAGAATGCATTTCTTTAAAATATGCTCAAAAAATCTGTTGTAATCTGGCTTTATTACCAGCACTTGGTAGAGATGGCATATATAAATTGATCACAGCTTTGCTTCTCATGAGTTCCACAGCTACCCTAATCTTGTGCCAATAGTAAGGAATAAATTTATGCCATATTGGATAACTGTTCATTCTGCTATATATAATATTTAGCTTCTTAATTCTGCTATTGCAAAAATAATACAGGCTATCTGAGTTTCTAAGATTACCAAAGAATGTATTTAAAGCTGGAATTTCTTCAAGTGGACAAAAAAGTACCTTGGGTTTTGTTTCTTTCTGTAGAGGCACTAATTAGATCCACTTTTGTGACAGGTTAGCCAGTGGACCAGGCTCTGCGAGATCAGCATTCCGCTGGCTGTTGAAGGAGTTTTGACGGGGTCTCCTGAGCACTGTCAGACTATTCCTCCTGACATTTTACTGCTTGAAAGGAAGCTTGGAGAACCTGTCCGAGTACATAATGATGACAAAATTCGAAGGCAGAAACTTCAACTACAGAAGGCAGGTGCCAAGGCTGCAGTACCTGTACTTGGCAGCGGAGCAAGAGAGGAAGGAAAAACAGTGGAAATGCATGAACGTGCACTCCCAAGTTTGGAACTGAGCTTAGCTTTCTCCAAGCTCCTTGTTCAGGACCTATCAGATGCAGCCAACAGGGAGGCCCCTCACATCAGGAGAACAAAAACCTCTGATCTTCCACTTTTGGACCACGTTTTTGCAGAAGGTCTTTATTTTACCTTGGCAGATATTGTGCTTTTGCCATGCATCCATCAATTCCTGGTAAGGTGACAAGTTCTGCAAATATTAAGTAGTGTATATTTACTTTTTTTAAGAACTGGAAAGTTGCAAACTCTGTTAATTTAAAATACATTGTGTCATTTGGGATGTGAATTTAACCTGAAGCAGAAGAGAAGTCTGGTTTTGTATGAAGAAAAAACAAGGATAGTTGAGATCACCAAAATTGCTTTTAAACACATACCGTATCAATACTTAGTACACACTGTTAACTATTAAAATACTATGCTGAAATATTTTGGTTCCAAGTTGCCCAGAAAATTCATTCATGAAAATATTTAAAAAGGACCCATAAAGTACGTTCTAATATGCATAAAGCAAAAAGTAGGTAGGCATAAACCTGTTTTCTTCCTCTACTTTAGTGTGCTAGATTTATGATCATGACTCGGTGGATGTTTACTAAAATGAGAACACTTTATCCATAAGGAATTTTTGGAGATTTGGAATTTTGATTCCATCAGAAATTGCAAATTTTGAAAGGAGGGAGGGTTGAGAGGGGTGTAATACTTTTAAAATACTAGAAGGGATATCACCGATGACAGATTTAAAATGAACACTGAAAGTACATGGTAATATACATAGGAAAAATGTGAGCATGAAACAATTTTAATTTTTATTTCAGTGTACTGGAAGGCAAGGCAAAATGAGTTCCTAACCAGCTTGTTATACTTCTACTATGTAGATATTATCTGGATTGGTATTTTCAGCAAAGACTTAGGGAGGCAGTGAATGTAGTGAGATTCAGGGACTATGGTGGCTTTTTAGAGGTGTAAATCCTTGGCTTTTCTTATCCATACTAGAGCTGAAGAGATATTCCAATATTGACTAGGCAAAGACTTCCAAAAACTCATTTGCCTATCACAGAATCGCTGTGGTTGGAAAGGACCTTTAAGATCATAGAGTCCAATCATTATCTAACTCTACCAGGCTACATCTACACCATATCCCTGAGCACCCCATCTAGATGGATTTTAAATAGATCCAGGGATGGTGATTCAACCACTTCCCTGGGAAGCCTGTTCCAGTCCTTGATCACACTTTGCTGTAGAAGCCTTTCCTAATGTCTAACCTAAACCTCCCCTGGAGTAACTTAATGCCATTTCCTCTTGTTCTCTAAGTTGTGGCCTGTGAGAGGAGGCCAGCACCCATCTCCCTACAGCCTCCGTTCAGGTAGCTGTGGAGAGCAATAAGGTCTCCCCTCAGCCTCCCTTTCTTCAGACTGAACAACCCCAGTGCCCTCAGCCACTCCACATAAGGCTTATCCTTCACCAGCGTTGTTGCCCTTCTCCACACCCTCTCCAGAACTTCAATGTCCTTCTTGTACTGTGGTGCCCAAAAGCGAACCCAGTACTCAAGATGCGGCCTCGCCAGTGCTGAGTACAGGGGGACAATCACTCCTCTAGTCCTGCTGACTGCTAATTTATGCAGTCAGCTAATGCTAATTTAGGAATCCTGCTGATTCCTAATACAGGCCGGGATGCCATTGGCCTTTTTGGACACCTGGGCACAGTGCTGGCTCATGTTCAGATGGCTGTCAGTCAACACCCCCAGGTCCCTTTCTGCCCAGCAGCCTTCCAGCCACTCCTCCCCAAGTCTATAGCCTTGCGTGGAGTTGCTGTGGCCCACGTGCAGGACCCGGCACTTGCCCTTGTTAAGCCTCATACAACTGTCCACAGCTCATTGCTCCAGCCTGTCCAGGTCCCTCTGAAGGGCCTCCCTACCCTCATGCAGATCAACACACCCACCTAACTTGGTGTCATCTGCAAACTTACTGAGGGTGCTCTCAATCCTCTCATCGTGATCATTGATAAATTTGTTAAAGAGGAGTGCCCTGGGGATCACCACTTATGTTAGTGGTATGTAATTTCTTGAAATTATCTTGAGATTTTTTTTTCTCTATAGGTACTTCTTTTTAAAATACGATGTGCTATGACTTCTGAACTGCTTATTTGTCTTCATAATAGGTTAATTATTCTTAACCTCTGCTGTTGTTTTCTTCTACTTCCTAGGATTGATTTCTTTATTTTGGAGGAAACACTCCTTTGTAGCCAGCCTGGCTTTTTATCAAGCCCTCCCACAAAATAAGCCAGTTTCATAGCACATCTGTAGATAAGTGTGGGTGCCTACAAGAGCATAATGCCCACATATCAGCAAACCTTTTATTCTTCTGTGCAGTTTTGCTTTTACAGAACTTAGTCTGTATTCTTCTTCAAGCAAGGACTGATGGCTGTGACCCTGCTCAGAAATGAGGTGATGTGTCTAGGGAGCCAGCTCTTTAGGATGTGTTTCAGCCCCTGAAACTTCAGTAATCTGTAGTTCTGTCATTCGTAGCGTTGCTACTAAACTATTTTCCACAGTTTGCAGAAGGTCCTTTGTTTATTGCAATGAAAGGAGAAGTTTCTGGGAAAGGTTACACTGCTAGGAGCACTTGCAGTGAAGTCTGTCGTTGAAAAGTTAATGATTCCCCTTGCAGTCCTATGAGATTTGCTGCTTAATTTTTTTTCCTAATAGAATCTTGGGTTACCTGTCTGGTCCAGTAACATACTGATAAAAAGTCCACACTTTCCTTCAGGGAAGTTAGATGTTTTCGTATCAGATTATATAAGTATTTTGGAAATGCCATTCCAAATACTGGAAAAAAAACAATGAGCTGTCTTCAGTTGTCTTCATGCTTGTCTTTTTTCTTCACATCAAGAGGCTTTCTAAGCACAGTGAGGAAAAACAGTGTATGCTAACAAAGTAATATAGACACTATATAATGAGTATATGCAAATTATTCGGAGTATAGGAGGACATCGCATCTTGAGGTGTGTTTAGAGATCTCAGAAGGTCTCCCAGTCTGTGTCTATGGAGGAATTTGAAACCTTCAGAGAGTTTCACTAAGGTAAAACAGGAAAAGCAATGGCACAGCTGGCAGCCAGGGCACCACATGGAATGTGGAAAACTGAGAAATAAATCTGTGCTCCTTAACACAGCATGTCATTGCAGAAACTCTGTTGCAAGTGGCAGAGCTGACTTGAGAAGTTCCTGTACTCCAGGATGCAGTTTGTGAGGCTATAGGTTGTGTCAATTTGAATGTAATTTGAATCAGTAAAATGATTCAGGGTCTCTGTACCTTTAGGTCAATGATCACCCCTTTGTTAGAGGAGAGCCTTAGTCACTTGGTTATTGAATATTTGTGGGGGATCTCTCACTTTGTACAAAATTTATCTGGGCCCAAGAAGGTCATTCCATGTGTGTGTGCCTCTACTGGTGGCTGATTTTTTTGTAGCACTTGTCCAGTTAAGGGCCAGTGTCTTGCAGATTCTGTTATACAGATAATTACGAAAATATATCAAAATGTTTAGAGGCTAATAAAGCCACGGAATTTGATTTTTATTGACCTTTTTTATAACCCTCCTCAACCAGTCTTTTCTTCCTTGACCCTGCTCTCACCTCTGGAAAGAGGTAGAGCTTTACTAGTACAGGTGACTTGAGCTCAGATCAAAACCAGTTTTACAGTGGTAAAAACTGAGGCAAGACTGTGAGAGTCTTGCTCAGCACAATCTGCGTACTTAACTTTTATGAGGATGCATGCACAGAAAAGAATTCAGGAAATAGCAACTGTGTCTGTCTCCCATGACAACAGAAGGCTATGAGTTTGCCTACCAGCAGTACTCCTGCAGCTGCTTTGGGAGTTTGGTAGTTAAGCTGGTGTCTCTTCCCAGCGAGAGCTCTGGGTGAGGTTGATGTTTGCATTTTGATTTCACAGGTTGTGTTGCCATATTTGCCTTGCAGTGGTTGAAAACAAATGGAATTCCTGGAAAAGATGCTGTCAGTCAGATTGAGAGGAAAAAAATTCTAAAATCAGGCTAATTATTAGCAAACATTAATATGTGACAAATACCCAGTTTGTAACTTCTTTAAACAAGATCATCATCGTCAGTGGATTTCTATAGGATAATAGGAATATGGGAGCCCAGAAGTAGGTTAGTGTGGCTACCTTTAGATTAAGATGATGAGTTATTTTACAGAAATGGTTATTAATTAATCTTTGCTTTGTTTGTTTTGCAAAACACATAACTGAGGATTAACAGCAGCTTCTGTATGGATGACACTAAGCAGAAGTAGTGAGATAAAATGCTTTCCTGCTATTTTAAAATCTTCAATGTATTTCAGTCTTTATTTTTCCAAGGCCTCTTTTTTTTTTTCCAAGAACATAACTTTTTACAGTAATGCTTCATTTGCTGGTGCTAGGCATGAGAAGATTCTTGGATTCAGATGCTTAGTAGATTTGAGCAATCCAGTTGAAATTGTGCTGTAGATATACTGTGAGCAGCTGAGAATGCTGTATTTATTTGCTTTTCACATGTGGTCCTTGAGCACTGGTGGTCTGCAGATTACAGGCTATATATTGTAGAATAGATTTCTGTCAGTGCACACCAAAGCTAGCTTCCAGTTTCATTTTTACCTAGATTATAAGAGCTCTGGGATAATGTTGCTTTGTTTCTGTTCTCTGGTGATGATCACTTTCTAAGCAATAATACCTTGATTCCTATGGTTATCATCAAAACTGAGTGACCTGCATCTGAAAGCTTCTTGCAGGCAGTGGGTTGAAACCATTCTTGTTGATGGAAGTGCCAGAGTTTAATTCTGTATTAAAATGTTATTTACCACTTATATAACTGGGCTTCCCAGATTGTCTTATTGAAAAAAAAAAAAAAACCAAACATACATTTTAGTTGCATTTCTACTTTTCTTTAAGCATGTGAATAATAATGAAATCTTCAATGGGTATGTGTCTGGAAAGTATCATACAATAAATACAAGGAGACCTGACTAACTGATTGTAATTATAATTACCAAAAGTAAGATAATGAAGCTGAAGAATTGTTTTCACCTCATTCCATTTCTGTTATCTTTCCAAGGTTAGCTTTGTTAGGCTTTCTATTAGTTGTAACTGTTTAAAATGAATAGAAGAATAGCGAAAGCGCCATTCTTCATCTAGGAGGAACCACTCTTCAATTTTAAAAACACAATTTAGAACACTTGTTATGAAGTGTAACAGTGCCTCTTAGAATTGCTTTCTAAAAGACTTCTACCTTGATTGAATTACTGTATTTCTGCCTGCTACTGTAAGTATTGAATTAGTTACTAAAATTACACAGTTCATCCTTCTTTAGCTATTAAGAAGAATATTATAAACACAGCATGCAAGAAAGCTGCTTGAATTTTTGTTCCATTTCAAGTGTTCTTTACCAATTTGTTTCCTGAAGACCAATATATGAAGTCTTCTCTTGGTCTTTTCTTGGTCTTTTCTCCCTTTCCCTGTAATCATGTTTTTTAATTTTCTGCCGAAAGCAGGCGCAACATCACAGAATGGTTGCGGTTGGAATGGTGGAGGTTGGAGGGCACTGCTGGAAATCATGTTGTTTAACCCCTCTACAAACAGTTGCCTTGGGTTGTGTCCAGTCAGGTTTTGAGTGTCTCTAAGGGCGGAGATGTCACAGCTTCTTCTGTAAGAGGGTGATCTTCATTATTGTAAAACATTTTGGAACCTGAAAAAAAAAAATTACTGAAGTTCACCAAATCTCTTTAAAATTAGCTATTCCTCAGTTAATAATGTGATTTGGGTATCTTTTATTTTTTTTGTAATATGTGCATTATATTCTTATTTAATAATATTTTTTTTAAACTTAAAATTCTAATTTGTTGAAGGCCACTTCAACTATCTTACCATCACATATACTTAATTCAGAAAAGAAATATACTATTTTCCACTTCTGTCTAAAAATATGAAGCTAAGATGGTAAAAACGTTTGAGTAAATGTATTATTTTAAAAAAAAGTTTTGGATTCAGTGCTAGTAAATAAAAAAAAAAAAAGCCACAGAAGTAGTGCAAAGACTTCAGTGAAGACCAGGGACAATGTATGCCTCTGCCTGTTTTGCTCTTACCACATAGTCAAAGGTATTTCTGACCTGCAATTGCCAGGAAAATAGCTGTCTCTGGATGGGCTTCTGAGGGCTGCAAGAGTGCCTGTGGGAAAGAAGAGCATTCAGTTACTATAATGTCTTGCTTAGATTTTAGTATTCATTGCAAATTACTGTTGTCCTTGGTTGCTTTGGTGTGTGTTTTTTTTTGTTTTGGTTGGTTGGGTTTTTTTGTGATGACCAACCAAAATGAATCATTCCCTTAGTAGGAATAGCAGGTAATTAAGAATATTACTGAAGTTGAGTTTTCCTGTTGCTAACTGAAAGGATTATTAAATTGGTCACATCAATCTCTTCATCCTGTTAAGCAAATGGCAGTTGCAGATAAATTTCTAAATGGCCAACTGGCAACTCTACCTGCAGGCCTGAGCTCTCAACTAGCTCACTTTTTGCGTTACTGTGCTATGAGTAACCACCCTCAGCATGGAGCTGGGCTCACTTCTGTAGTTCAGGCCTTCCTGAGGCATGTTTGAAGAAATTTACAAAAGAAAAGCAAATAATCTTTCACTTTTATTTTTCTAGGTTTTCAGCAAAAAACAAGGCAAAAGTCTGGTAAATTTGCCTCTGATATCCAGTTGGTATCGAAGAGTTCAAGAAGTACCTGGGGTAAAGAAGGCTGCTGGGAAATGCAATATGGAGCTTCTCCAGCTTCCAGAGTTGATGTCTGCTCCAGAGGAACAGCTGCAAGGTTTCTCATCAGTTCCTGAAGAATCAGAAGAGGAGAATGAAGACAGTCATTTTATAGGTGGTCCGAGGCCAACTATGACTAAGTTAATGGTAATTTAATCTATTTAGTGAGCTATTTTTGGTAGAAATATTCTGCTTGATTTGGAATAGGTGAAATTTATTACAAGTGCAGAAGCTGGCAGCCCTGAGCAGTAATACCTTTTGCACATCTTCTGTCTGATGTACATTGGCTTAAAAGTGATTTTACTTTTTTGTTCTGTGGTGATATTTGAACAATTCAGGAATTGAGCCAAGATAGGACTGATGGAACCTCTATCAGTAATTTTGAATAATCAAAGTAACTGTTTGTTTGAATTGCAATATTGTATTCCTCTTTTAAAGATATTTACACAAAGGATGACAAAAAAAGTTGCTTTTATGATCAACTTCATTATTCTGTTAGTTCTGTTGGTTTTTTGCTGTTTGATTGGAGCTTTCAACATACAGGAACCATAATGAGCTTCATTAAAAAAAAACATTCATCTTGTTCCATATCTCATGATACTTTTTGCATAGAAGCTGACAGCATTTCCCAAAGAAAATTAACAGGACATTGATGTGTAATTGAGAGAAATATATCATTTGAATCCCATATAATGCAGAGTGAGCTGCCTGTTTAGCCTCCATTAGGCTGGAAGTGTTGCATGGTTTGACGTGATGCCGTTAAACTCAGTGGGAATTTTGCTACCAACTTCAGTGGATAAAGGATCAAAGTCCTAATTCCCTCTCTTGCCCTTTTTGACATAGGAAAATGGTATTGAAGCAAAGTTTTCTCCCCATCCATGCCCCAGCTGGACCCTAGACTGGGCCAATCTGCCTTCTGCAGTCAGTCCTGGAGAAGGTAAGAGGTTTTATGTATGTTTGTATGTATTTAACAGTGCTGCTTTCTGCTGAAAGTACGTACTGAATCTATATTTAGAAATTGTGTTGGAAGGAGTTTTTTAACTTGGTTTGACTGGGGGAAAAATCAAAGCTGTTTCTTTTTTTCAAGTTTGCTGAAATATTTGCTAAGGACGTTGATATCTGAAATAGATTTTCAGCTCAATTTTGGGGGGAAGATTTGGTGGCTCAGCAAGATACAGAGCTCCACCCAAGGTCACAGTGATGCTGATGCCATTTGATAATATTGGGAAACTCCAAATGCTTTTAGTCCAGGAGCAGCAGACAAAAGGACACAAGACAAAAGGAAATTTTCTGATATGAGACTTGATTTTGTTTTTTCAGTTGGATACATCTGCATGCTCACCTCTGCTGTTCTAAGTGATACTGTTCTGTTTCCTGATTCTTGTACTAGTACAGCCTAACTGTTGTCATATGAATCGATTTCTCAATATTTTACTACTAAATCCTACCTGGCACACTGAGAAAACAGCCTCTGAATCTGACAGGGTTTTAAGCTGGATTTGAGTAAACTTGCAAACAGATTACCCATAGGGCAAGTTGTAGAACTGGTAAATAAATTTCCTTTACTAATGTTTGTGGCAGTTAAAATAAAGTAGAGAATGTTTCAATTAAAACTCACTTTGCTTTTTATCCACAGTAACTTTAATTTGCTGGCAAATCTTAGTTTAATAGCATACATGATATTCCTTTTTGCTCTGTCTCAGCTTAGATAATTCAGAATTTGTTAAATGTATGTGGAAGTTCTGTGACTGAATTGTTCAGTCTGTCTATCAAGTTTAGTTAGACCACCTTGCTGTCACAGCTATTTACTGCAGAAAAGATTTACTGATGGTTGCAGTTCTAAAGAATTATTTAGATGATATGTTTGAAAGTTTTGGTAGGGGTTGTTTACTGTTGCAAAACTGAAGAATATGACATCATTATTTACATTGCACTTGCTTAATCATATTTCTGAAGCAGAATGGGGTAGTTAGACTGTTTCCGTTAGGAAGGGACCTACAGCAATCATCTCTTCCAGCTGCCTGACCCATTCAGGGCAGACCAAAATTTGAAGCACATTATTAAGAGCGTTGTCCAAACACCATTTAAATGCTGACAGGCTTGGGGCAGTGACTGGTTCTCCAGGAAGCCTGTTCCAGTGCCCGACCGCTCTCTCAGTACAGAAACGCTTCCTGACAGTCCAGTCTGAACCTTCCCTGGCACAGCTCTGAGCCATGCACATGTGAAAACTCCTCTTTGTTCTGGTCCTGATGCCATTTCTAAAGGGTATTTGATGGACCAAACTGGAGTCATGTTTACATTTTAGATATCCTGTGGCTTTTTAAATTTCTGCTGTTGTGTCCATTACTTCTAAAATATTTAGCTTCTAAACTTGTGTATATTGGCCTTGAGAAGTGCAAATCTGTAAGTGTTTGTGAGCATCTGGACCGTATTTGAAAGACTGCAGAACTTCCCAAAATGTAATATCTTAGTGCCCTCTGTAACTGTTGGTATTCTAGGCTTTTGTGACTGTTGAGTTGTTACAAACTTTCACTTTTGGAAATTTAACACAAAATATTTTAAAATGTATTGTAAATGCTGGTTTCTGTTCTAGTTTACTGTAAAACTTGGCCAGTACTTTTTTTTATAAGTATTTTTTTTTATAAGTACTGTATTTTTTATAAGTTTGTTTTCCAGATCAGAAATGTGTTGATATTGTCTATTAAATACAGAAGTCAAAATGCCTCAGCACTTCATTGTTTCTTCCAAGTCACAGAGGTGTATAAAGACTTAGCCTCAAGCAGACAAACCAAGCCTGTCTGGCTAAATGTGTCTCTTGATACTGAAAAGTTAATTTGTGCAAAATCTCAAGTGAAAATGTAGTATTACTAAGTTATATAAGAGACAAATACTGGAAACTTGCATGTCATTAAAATAGTCAACATTTATTTGCAAGAAATACTTCAACTGGTAGCTGACACAACCTAAGGTCTTAACCAAGCTCAGTGCTTGGCTGTTGTTGAGCTTTCTGTAGCTGTAAAGGTAAGGTATGACTACAAAGATGTACAGACAGCAAAAGAAGTGGGTGGCAGGTCAGAACATAAAAGTGTATGTGGTAAAATGTGAGACTGAAGCAAAACAAGATACTTGCTTCAGCAGTAAAGGGAAGTAATCACAAGATGCATGTCAGTATAGAAAATGTTTTCCTTTTTTCCCACGATGAAAGGTGGTGGCTGAAATTTTGGGGCTTGTTGAAGTAAGAATGCTGAATGGAAACAGTGTGCTGCTACTGGTGATTAAATGTGAGGTCTGTGAGAGAGGAGATTGTTTAGATTCGTGACCAACAAGGAAATGAGGCATCTTTTCTGTGATTGCACAGTTTACACTGGGCAGCAGTAGAAAGCATTTTGTTTTTATCCTTTCTGGAACTTGCAGTCAACTGTGGAGTCTTTGCTTGTGTTCCTTGTCCTTTGTGTGTTTGAAACCATTCCTTTGGGTTAATTTCCAATTAGCTGCAAAGGCTTTTTGGATAGCATGATGAGTTTGACTGGTTATGTTTAGAGGTCCTTCCTTTAGGATCACTCAAAGCACATTAAGGGGAGGCAGAAAGTTGGGGGGAGGGGTGGGAGCGGAGTGTGATAACCTTTGTCACTGGTGATACTTGGTGATGTAAGTTTTTGATACTGTAATTTTTTCATCAAGCATTGTGTTCATTGTGAAACAAAAAAGGGAAGAAAGGTTATTTTTTTTTTCTTTAAAACAGCTTATTTATTTAAGATTTTACCCAACTGTGAAATTTAAGAATGAGAAATAACTGACCCACAGTCTCATAAACCCTTACTTCTTCTCTCATGAGTGAAATACTTGTTAAGCAGGAAGTACTGCAGAGAAGGAAAGTGCTGTATTTGTGGTATCTCATTCTGAAATGACCAGCTAGACTGACAGAGTGTGTGTGTGATGGTATTTACTTAAAAAGGTAGTGGTTAGCTGTGAACAGATTTGTACCGTTCTTTCCAAAGTGTGAAACTACTCACAGGATGAATGTAGCAAGTTTTTAGTAAACTGTTGTGTAGGCTTGTGAGTAATGCCCTCTTCCTCAGAAAAATATGTATCTTTAAATGAAGGAATTGTAGAAGGTCAGGAAAGAGCTCCTTAGCTGCAATACAACTTACTGTCAGGTGAATGTGGAAAAATCACTATCATAGAAAGTAGGAGAGCACGTGCAGTAGGAGATAGAGGGTTCAACTATAGAATCTGTTGAGTTTGAGGTGGAGGAAGATTAAAAAAATGTAGGCAAATAAAGAAAGCTAGGCCAAAATAAATGAATGGATTGTATATAAATATGACTCCCAATGAAGAATGTCAAGTACTTCATATGCTTCATTATTCTTAGTAAGAAATGGATTGATTCCCAGTATTGAATTGTCTGGGACAAGTGTCTGCCTTGAGGTGAAATTTTGCATTTAGAAATTTAAGAAGGCAAATATGGAAGAAGAAAAGGCCTTGCACATCTTCTGTGTCCAGTGCATGGGTTTAAGCGAGGCTGTTAATCCTTTGCAAGGCAATATATACCTGCCTAGCTGAAGACAAAATTACTCTGATCAAATTTGTTTGATATATGTTTGCTGTGTGATCAGTAGCAAGTTGATGACCAAATTAAATGACTGTATAAAACTGTCACAGAAAGGTTAGCCTGAAGGAAATTACACCTTGATTGATAATTGCCCCTTGTTTGCATTCAGGTCTTCAGACTTTCTCAAAAGTTTTTTTGATGTTTAGAATGCTTAGCTTTGAAAACGAGGCAAAATTTGGAAAGCCTGCGGTCTGCTGTTCAGGAATAAGGCTGACCCTTAAATGGTTGTTGAGAAGACATTTGTTACTTTGATTTATAAGTCACAGAATAATTAATGACATACTGTAATTTTTTTTTTTTTTAAAACAGAGAAGCAGAATTCAGGAAATGCAGGTATATAATATTTTAAAGGATGTTTTTATCTCCTCTTCATTTTCTAAATAATTTATGTCAGCTGAGAATTTGATCTTCAGTGCTTTTTCTTTTTTTAGAGAGGCCTGCTTTCATTAATAGGAATATTTTGATATATGCTTGAAAATAAATCTTACTAAAGGTGCCATATTCAATTACTTATGTACATACAAAGTACAGAATGTTCACGTTAGAAGTGGAGAGCTTGTCTGATTGAAGCAACAATGACATGAGCATGAAGCTGTTCTTACTGTGCCACCATTCTTAATGTTTGGTAGCTGTGATAATTTTTGTCAGTCTGGGTATTGGGATATTGTTTTATTTTGCCAAAACATAAGTGAAGCTGTTTAAGCGTAATTTCTGATGACTGATTATCTCAAATAATTTGAGTATTCTAAGAAATTATGAGTAAGTCTGGCATGTGGTGATGAGAATTGACATCACAACGTGTATGGCCAGATGAAAAATAGGAAATATTTTTAACATTGTTTTGAAATAAACTGTTTATGAATTAAGAATATAAAAAGATGGATATCTCCACTGTCTTTGTGTTTTCCTGGGGGAAAAAAAAAAAACAAAAACAAAAACAAACAAACCACACACACACAGGAAAAAAAAAAAAACCAAAGAAAAAAAACCCCTCTTGATGGTATATGTCTGCAGAGGAATTGTTTGTCACAATGTCTTATCCTCTTTAAGGACATATCACTGAATCCCCAAGACAGTGAAACTTGCTCCCCTGCAGGAGGAGGAAAGTGTTCCACATTTGTCTTGTAGAGCTAATGCTCACACTGTCTTTGTGCCATTAATTTGCAAACCTGGCTTTCTTTTTAACCTACAGTCCAACATAACTTCGACTTTCTGTAATAGAAGACTTTTTTTCTGGCAGAAAGAAAAATGAATTGCAGATATTTGGCTGACACTTTGTTGCACTGGAATTGTTAAAATACCTTAGTAAGGCAAGAGTAGTTTCC